GAGGCTGGTACCTAATCACCAAGAATAATTTGCAGTTTCACAAATTAAGGGTTTCCAAAGTTGGACACATCAGAGCTCCAGGCAACCAAGAAGGACAATGCAACAGAAGCTTATGGCCCTGCTATAGAGTACCAAGCAATCTTGGGAAAGGAAATCTCTACAACAACAAGGCCAACAGTGAGATCTTATATAAAATTCACCCATTCATACATTCAAATAACTTTTCTCCATAAACTGGAAGACCTCCTTCTTATACAATCAGTTTGGCTAACAGAACAGGCCATTGCCTGGCCACTTCTTGTGTTCTTTCTAAAGGTAATGTGGTTTTTTGGGGTGAAGTGCCTTTTTTGTCCACCTGCTTGCTCTCCCTTCTCAGCACACAACAGATCCTTGTGCTGGGCTTCATACTTCACCACTGTCTTGCTAAAAGGAATGCACAGCTGCCTTCAGACTGAAAAAGTCTAAATAGCTTTATCTGGGTCTCAGGTAGTCCAACAGGCTCTGTCTTCAAAAACCTGTCTTTTGGACACCAACAGAACAACTCACAGGTCATCACACCTTCCACTCTTTCTCAAAGGTTTACACCTTGGTTTTAGTAGTCTAACACAATCACACAGATGCCCTGCTTATGGTCTGGTTTTAACAACGTCAAACGTACACCTCAGATGTCACAAATAATGGATTTAGTATTTACATTAAAAGCAAAATCACTAATTTCTTTCATAGGTTTAAATAAAGCAACTGAAGAGACAGTTGCTCATCATGCAGCCTCTAAACCCAGAACACGACAAAACCATATCCAGATGAATTTCCAGTTAAAAAGATATTATTTTGGAAGATGACAAATATACATTCAAAATACAATTTGGCTACACATATACACACACTCACACACCCTTACCCACTGCATAGTATTTAGGATACTTCTTCCATTTTTGTAAAATTTAAGGGAACAAGTTTTAAAAATAAGTAGGAAGAGCAAGCAGCTTGTGGAAGTCCTAGGTCACTTACACAATGAAGAGAATGATAATCAAAAAGCATCACTGTACCTTTTATAGTACACTGTCCTATGTGCCATCTTTTTCAGACAGCCTGTTCTAGAAACTTCCTTGGGGGATGCAGTATTTTTCCTCTCTTTCCTCCATTCTGTTGCTTCATACTTGTTTTACATTTTCTGGTGCTCCATATACAGCTCTAAAAAGCACTTATAGTCAACTGATCTTAAGCACTGCTCTATACCAAGCAAAACAAAGCTATGGCTGCACAAAAGGGTTTGATATTTACTTGTCTAAAAGCAGTTTCTTTTCTAAACAGAACAGCAACTTCTCATATTTTTGTTTCAAAGAAAAAACATGTTTCCATTAGAATTTTCCTCCTAGTCCATAAAGATTCTCTAAATAAAGAGCTGAATACTGCCATACACTGAATTGCTTTTTGCTCTCAGACTTTTCATTTCCAGTATTTTCAAGCACTTACATTCACCTCTTAACAAAAGGTTTCATACTGGTCAGTATCATGAAGGGAGGGAAAAGAAACAGTAAATTCACACAAGAGAGCCAGACAAAGAGGAATCTTCATTTGCATCTGGGCAACATAATGTTCCTTTCTGGACAATGTTGGAACAGTGTGCACACCATCTAGCTATCAATCTTAGTTCCACAGCACTGTCCTCTTTATCTCTGTATTGCAGCAACCTATAAAAACGCTAACATTCCTAAATATTTAAAATACCTAATTAAGTGAAATGCACATGGCTATATAATTATGACATTAAAAGGTATATTAGCACACAAATGGGAAACATGGAACATTCAGTATGTCATTTCTTACAAGACCTGATTTCCCAAATCCCTTACTTCACCTTAGAGGCACTGATTTACAACATGACTTAAACTCTTACTGTGCCAAAGTTGCTTTTAAAACAAAATCTTGGGTTACAGAATAAGATACATGATTTTGGGAACATTATTCTTGGTGCTTGTATTAAGCAACTGGTCAGAAGCTACCCTGAGAGAACTATAACTACATTTCTAGTGAAGTCACCATACTGTCAGAAATCACCAACCATAACATACTATTTTTAAACCACTAGTTCAAGCCAATGGCTTAAACCTTCCTTAGAACTAGTGACCTCAACACCAAATTAAGCCCATGCTTCAAATAACATTCATTATAGCAGTGGAGGATAAACTACTGCAGATTTCCAGCACACTGAAATATGTAATATAAAAAACCCCACAAAACCCAACCCAAACAATATATTTCCACTTTTAGATGGAAACTCTTTAGATAAATATGGGTTCATAGAGAACACAGCACCTCTGTACCAAAGGCCCTAGTATATAGTAGAACAGTCACACCAACACAACAGACAGCTTACATTCAAAGTTTTTATTATTGATCTTAAATTTGAAGGACAAAAGAATTCTTATTTGAGTCAAAAAATCTGGAAAATGTGCAAAACCTGCATTTTCAAGTGCTTTTTGAAGGTCTGCTCTATGAGGAGACTGGATAACAGACGTCCACAAAAAAATTCCTAAGGGCTGTTTCCTACCACATTTTTGACAGGGAATACATGTATGTATTCAGTTACTCTGAATTCCAGCCTGGCACTGGTTTTCTCACACAGATTTATTAGGATCAATGGAAGGCAACAAGTACAACTATGTAACACTCAGCCAGCACATGAAAGACAAGTAACAAGCCAATGGCTGAAATCCAGTGGATTCCAGGAGATGGCTCATGAACACAATGCATACAGCATTTGCTGTTGGCCATCATCCCTATTATATACTTCTAAAATCTTATACTAAAAGTCTGCAATGAGTAATGATGCAGTTTTCAAACTCTCTCCCTATTTGCAGATTTCCCAGTGTTTGCTCCTCACCTCCTTACCACCTTTCTGTAGAGTCAGGGTAGTCTTTAGCTGTCTTTGTGAACTAAAGGTATTTTACTCACCAGAATGATGGAACGAGATACCTATTACAGTGTTTCTCCATTACTGTCACCTGAGCAGCTGCAACAATATTATTCAGGAATACAGAGTAATTCTGTGCATTTGCACACTAACTATGGAGCAGAAACTTAGTGCTCTACTGAAAACAGCTCAACTGCACTTAGAGAACCTTGACTTGAAAGAGCCTGGATAAGAGGGATCAGGAATTTTACCCAAGTACCACATACCAAGATTGGCATCCCACCTCCCACATTGTCCAAGACACTGTTGCAAGCATGACAAATTTTTGGTTAAGAAAAAGCAGTGCTTAAAGAATCATTTTTCAAATGAAATAAAACAACACATTTTTTTCCTGAAAATAACTATGTCTTGAAAATACTGATGCACCTTACCATCCATTCAGATATAATTACATCCACTTTTTCCAAAGGCAGATCTACTTCTTCAATTCTTCCTTTGACTAATGTAATGACATTTTCAAGTTTATTTAATCTGCAAGTCACAAGATAAACAAATAAGGTTATATTTCCAATTTATGCTTTCAAGAGAAAGATACTGATGTTTGTACTTTGCATTTCTCTCCCCAATATTAATTTTTTAAACTAGTAAAGAAGGCTTTACAATGCAATATTCCTCTTCTCAGTTGTATTTCAGAGGGAATGTTTCTAAGGGCCCAAAAACTGCAGCAGATTAAATGCCAGGCAAGGATGGTAGACAGTAGATCTGTACACCTCCAACGTGCTGTGCATACAAACACATAAGCTTCAGAAATCAGAAAAACAAAGAAAAGGACAATTTAATATGATGCTCCTTTTCAGAGTTGCTTGTTCCCAGTTCTCCTTCTCTGACCCCTGTAGCATAAGTCTATAATGATTAGAGCCTACTCATCACACTAGGATAGCAATGGAAATTAACTTCCTCACAAAGCTGTTTTGCACGACTTGGTTTTTTATTTAACCAAATGAGCTGCAAAGTCACTGAGAACAAACATTCCCTCTAGATCAGTATTACAGTTATTCCACAATAAAGGCATCTTTCCCACCGTGATTTGGGCCAAAATCATCTGCAATGTTTAGTAATTGCAGTAATCAGGTATTACCTCACAGAAAAGTAATGGTACAACCACCCTGTATAAGGAGGAGGGTACTGTGACATGACTACAGTTTTTGAAACAAACAGTATGACAGTGAAATTACTACATAAGTAAATGCTTGAAATTAAATATTTTTCTCTCTTGGGAAATCATATTAGAATTCTCTGTACATAACATTATTACAATAGCTATTGTTACAGATGTCAGGAAAGTATTCCCACCAAAGAAATTGATCATTCCATTGCAGTTCTTATCTCTACCCCTTCCTTCCCTATCCTGATATCTTACTCTTCCATTCTGGCTGGCTTTCAATGCAGACTAGTAATCACATGAAAAATTCAATCTAAAAGACAATGGAAGAACAATCAGAATGAAGGGGGAGAAAAGAAAGGGTCAAAGGGCTACTTGAACACGTGGGCTGTTAGAAAGATCAATTAAATACTCCACACATCAGTGCTCTGTTAGAAGAGTAGCAGTTCATCACTAATATCACACTTACTGTTTCAAGTAAAAAGAAAAGCAGAAGTTCAAAGTGAGAAATAAAACACTACAAAACCCACAATATTTTAAGAAGGACAGAGATGTAAGGATAACTTCCTAAAGGACCACATACAAGGACATAATTAAAAAAAAAGAGAAAGAAAAGAGTAATTTATTACACTGTTATGTTAAATTCTACGGTATTAAAACAAAAGCAAACAAAAAAAACCAATGTTGGTCATTCAGAGCTGAACCCAGTTCTTCATTGCCTATAACAGAAAATCATAGACATTCTATATACAGACACATATTGTAGTTTAGTTTTCATACAACTAAACAAATTTTACTGGGTTTACCTACATCAGAACAGATTCTTTAACTCAGCGTAGTACAGAGAGGAAGACTTCTCCACATCCTCTTGGAATGTGTCTTAACTTTGCTGTCTAAAAATACACATTTTATCAGTAACACTAAAGCATAAGAATAGAAGATGGACTGGCAGCAGTGAGCTGGAGCCTCTGCAGCAAGGCAGCACTGGCCCTATGCCAACATTAGGACGAAGGTCTGGGAAGCATCCTGCCTTAACTACAGCGCTGTTTTAATTATCTCTATCACAGGAGCAAATGACAGCACATCAAAACCTGTGCTAATTCTTCAGACAAAGAAGGACTTCAGTAAAAGACAGACTGAATAACAGGTGATCGTTAACTAGAAACAGCATTTTACTGAATTTTTACAGCAACATTTCCCATACTTCTCTTGGAATTTTTCCTACCGAATGATGTCCATGGCCTGAAAGACAATTTCAGACTGGTCAACTCCAATCACCTTCTTCGCACCTGCTTTGGCAGCAAACATGGACAGTATTCCAGTTCCACAGCCAACATCCAAAACTACCTGTAACAAATAAGATGTTTATTTTTACCTCCATTTAGTTTCCTTGCTATTCTTTTTTTTACATGTCTTTCTACATTAGTGAGATCCCATACCCCAACAGAAGTAACCAGAGGTAGCATCAAGTCTTATTGTCACACTCAAGAGATATCCAAGTCAAACTACAATGGTAACTCCACAGCCTCTACTACCTCTTACAGATAGACAATGAAACAATCTAGCTTCAGAGGAGCTCAGTCCCACAGGAAGCAATCACTAACAATTATTTGGGCAGGAATTAAAAAGTTACTTGAACAAGAGAAACGCAAGATTAGTCTGAACAATTCTAATGAGTGAATCACTAGCAATTTAGAACTGCCATTGAATAAACATATTCTGACTGCAGCTTGTCAGTAGGAGTCTATTCAGAAACTCTATTTAGGAATCCTCTGCTAGAAATGGCCACAGTGCCTCAGAACAGCTATAGCTCAAGATGACTAAATTTAAACATGGTAACCGGCACAGTTACTACCACTATAATATCCAGGAAGATGGGATCCCTAAGTTTTCATGAAGGAAGACCAAACTTCTTCATAACACTTGACAAAAGTACACTGAACATAACAAGACTCACGCAAATGAGTCTTGATACCTCAGCTATTGGCTGGTTTTGATACCTTATCTATTAGCTACTGTAGGCAGACTGAAAAGTTTAAAAATGTGAAATGAATAAGAAAATAGTATCAAATACACTAATCAGTAGAACTGAACTGCCCAAAGTGCTGAACTTCATAAAGCAGAAATTTTATTAAGCAGCCTTGTTTCGGCCTCAGTATCATAATAATAACAGTGTATTTCTTCTAATGGCTGGAAACTTCTCTACAGCTTAAAAACTAACACTTGCAATCTTGAAGATTTTTAAGCTATGAGTTTCAAATATGGAATTTTCACAGAAACCAGGAATACTTGAGGTTGAAAGGGACCTCAGGAAATCCCCACTGCTCAAAGCAAAATCAGCTAGAGCAGGTTGCTCAGGACCACAATCAAACAGCTTTTTAGTACATCCAAGGATGGAGACTCTACAGCCTCCCTCAGCAACCTGTGCCACTGTTCAACTGCCCTCACAGTAAAAAAAGTGTTTCTGATCTTTAAAGGCAACTGCCTGGAGTTCAGTCAGATTTCCACCTAACATAGTTAAGCTTTACTAATGTTTTAATAATTCTAAACACTAAGCCCACAGATATTCTGAAAACTGAAATGGAATTAAGTTTCCTAAACACTAGGTACAGTCATTCATACCACACATAGCATGTGAACATTAAGAGAACCAAAATTGCAAAGACAGACTTCCTTTCACATACAAAAGACCCAAACTTTGAACACAACTTACTAAATTACTTCCAAGACAACAGGAACAGTGGGTCACAATTACCAGTCCTAAAAATCATAAGAAAAGAAACCTGACTTACTTCACTACCTCTTCCTAGCATAGCATCCATGTTGAAGACAGCTTGCACACATTACACTTTCTTCCAAAGAAGGCAACAAATCACTCAGTAATCAGTCCCATGCTTGGGAATTACCACGTCATTTTGCAAAATATTTCAAAGCAATAATGCACCCTCCTGATGACAAGCTTTCTAGCATCCCTGCTTTGGCACAACAAAAACTTGAATGTGCACTTCAACACTTTACCTTACAAATAGAACTGAAGTAGTTGAATGCTGTGCACATGAGGTCTGTTTGCCTGGCATACGACTCTATACCTTTTGATGATGGACACAGAACAATGATTCTGAAGCCAGCATGGATAAAAATAGCAGTTTATCCCTAGCAGCACAGTGTAAGTGGGCTGCTGCTGTGGCAAACTGGAAAGCAATGACTGAAAAGCTGACTGCCACCTGTTACCATGGAGCAACTTACAGTCTGGAATCAGACTAGAAAACACGAGTGTGATGAATTTTTTTTTTACAGCACCTTGTGTAGAGGCTGGCCACAGCAGATGCAGAGTTTCTTTTTTCCCTTGGAACTCTCTGAAGCTGTTTTCCAACAGGAGTTAATCATACAACTAATTTACAAGTTACATGTGAATATGCAATGGCTACAGAGATCCCTAGGCTGAAGTCTTCTGGAGACAGGAATAGAAAGTAAAAATCAGTGTTCTTGCAGCTGCTGAAGTCTCACACCCCCTCACATCATATCTTCTAACACTTTACCCATGGTAGTCCACAAAATTGCTGAGCCATGAAAGCTGGAAGTCAGAGCCAAAAACAGACCTCTGTGAAAGAATGATCTCGATGTGCAGTTGCATGAAAGAGGGTAATCACATAAACAAGAAAAAAATCAAAACAGACACCACTTTGGACAGCTGCCCTGGTCACTTAAAAACCCAGACTGAATTCATCTAGCATCAGGCAGGGAAAGGGAGTGGAGAAAAAGGCACAGGAGAGAAAACAGACAATCTGGAACACATCTGAGGAATGGAGAGACAAGCAGAATGATCACTGATTAGCCTAAGGACAAGGCTCTACATCTAACGCATTCTTGCAGTGATCACATATGGCTTCTCACCAGAGATCTGGAGCTGCTGAACTGGCCATTTGACTATACCATAATGTTCTGCAGCGTCACATCCTTCTCTGCAGTCTAATATTCTACTTCCAGCAACAGTAAAATATCACTTCAAATTCAGAAAAACAGGTCAGGTAATTTGGCCAATTAATTCCATCAATGAATTTTTAGCAGGAGTGATGCTAAAAAACCCCTTATGTTTTCCCTCAATATGGCATTGATGCCTGCCTCAGACTTCTATTCTACAAACAAATCCTTCTATTCTACAAACAAACCAATTTTTTTCCACCAAAAAAACACTCTTGCTGCAAAATAGATCACATTGCCTTTTACTGAGTTAGGCCACCTTAACTACTCCTGCTAGGTAATCCAAATTGTCCTACTCTTATCTCAGATACAACTGACAGGCTGAAAATAAGGGCAACAAACAGGATTAATTCAATAAACTGAACAAAATATCTCAACAGTCATACACTGAAGTTAAGTGGGGTGCTGGTCACCTGGATGCAAGCTCCTGGGAACCCACAGCAACTGAGAATCTTTACTTCCATTCAGCCTCAATACAATATGATGAGTTTGGATAGATTAGGAATTTGAGGTAATCCTGATTTAAAAAAAACACAAACATCAAACAATAAAAACATCTTGTAAAAAATCCGAGTTTGGAAACAAGTTTGTAGAGGCTGTGATAATAGACACAAGTTTTCTTTAGAAGTCGAATGCCTTTGAGTGAAGTAAACTATAAAGAGCTTAGAAATGTTTAGTAGAAACAGGCTTGTGATACATATTTAAGCAAAAAGGAAGAAAACTTTCCCTAATATTTTTCTGCTGCAGTTGCCAAAAGAAAACTGAGGTAAGACTGATTGATTCTATGATTCTAAGACATACAAAAAGTAGGCACTATCCATCTTTAAATACCTCCTCTCTAGGGAAAAAACAGATCTAGCACAAATTCCAATTGAGGAAATATCAGATGGGTGCACTCATTGCTTCCACAACTAGTCTGAAGCCTTATATTATCCCTTCTTATCAAAGCCTCAACAAAACAAAAATTCAACAGTGATTGCCTTACATAAACCTAGTCATCCTGGTTTCACAGTAAGAAATGTCCATACACAGCTTAAGGACAATAAGCACCAAGTAGGGGAAAGGTCATCCAGAAGACAAGGCTGCACAGCCTAATTCAGAACACAACAGTATCAGAAATAGCCAACAGAAAGAACAAAGACAAGAAGAGGATCTTAACCATGCAGGGATCATAACCACAGTAAGATCGTAAACAATCATCAGCACAAATCTCTCCTCACTGCAAGTTCCTGCTTCTAAATCTCTTAATAATAACCTAGTCTGGGGAGACTAAACAACACTAGTTCAATAAATCAGTTGCATATGAATTCTTCCCCAGTTCTAACTACACAGTGCTTCTAGAATGTTTTTACTGTATCAGGCACAAATGGAAATGCACTTAAATTCTGGTAAAGAGGCCCTCTAAAATAGATTTCACTTAATATACGGGACAAGAAAGGTTCAACTTAACCCGGCCAACATAATTAATTAACATCTTGACATGGCACACAGAACAATGACAACAGTGATCAGCACTTCTGTTATCAGCACTTCACACCCTCCAGCAGTTGAATAGCACTCTACCACCTAATAAAGCCACAGTACATTAAATCAGACCTTGTCAGTGCAATAGGCCATTCCCAAGCTACCAAGTAGCCAACCCGAAGGATTTCTACCCACTGGTAAAAAAACAAGGCACAGAAATTATTGCATTTTCTGAGCTGTTTTACCTACCTTGTCCTCAAAGATATGTGGGTTTTGATAGATGAAGTCACGATAGCTTTGTGTACGCACTTTATCCTGGGATTTAGAGAAGAAAAAACAACGTTCACTTTTTCTACTTCCATACAGCATATTGTTCAAAAAAGCTGAGGAACTTCGTTTTTTAGCTTGGCCTAAAGATGCTTTGTGGCTACTGCACTTAAAAGGCCTCTGCAATCACAACACTTTCCATAATATATTCATCCAGAATTTGTTGTCTTTGGCAAATGAAGCCTCCGTAGGAAAAAAAAGTAATTAGCTTACACTTTTCTGACCTGCTGCACTTCATTTTGGATATTTCAAAGCTTTTAATACCTCTCCATCATTTTCCAAGACCAGCAGTAATGCAGCAGCAATACTGCATCAACTTTACATAACAACCTTCTATACAGTGGTAAAAATTTGAGTCCCAAGCTTATAAAACGTTGTGTAATCTTATTCTCTGACACTACTGTGACACAGATTCCTTAAAAAAAAGTTATGGATCAGATTAAGACTTCCCTTTTCTAAGCAAACTACAAATTTGAAAGCCTGACAACAAGCTAATAATTGAAGCTGTACAGTCCATTCTATGAAAGCCCCATATAATAAATCAAGAAACTTAACAGTAATACAACACAACCTGAGAAGCTGGAATGTTCTCAAGCATATAAGTAAACATTTACAATTCCTTAGCATATGAAAGCCAGCAGTACAGGTAAAGCTACCAGCAAGGTCATCTGTTAAAACACTGATTCTCCTAATATGAATCAGCAGGTACAGAAATTGACTGGCAAGTATAGGTTTCAGAATTGCTGCTGCAGTTCAGTGTTAGAGTAAAGTACAAGAAAAATAAGCAATTTTCATCTAGTAAAGTCAAATCTACAAATAATACTGAAGAATAAAATCCAACTGCTTATATTTAAGTTAGCATTTCTCTACTATGTCAGTTAATGCCTGTGTCAGACTGAAAACAAAGGATATGTTCATAGCAATTCTGGAGACAAAATAAATTACTTTGAGTCTTAAAACTGGATTTCTGTATTTTCAAGTTTAGGAGGATTATCGCACACACACAAAGCCCAAAGGAAGTCAGGAATTATTTTAGAAAATTGTACTTTAAAAATACACATAATTAAGAATTTAAAAAATTGGGATCCTTTGAAATCACGTTGATTTACTGTGATGTTATATTCAGAGCACCTATTTTTAGGACTTCACCTCATTGCAGTATATACTAGGATTTGCTGAAACAACCAAAAAAGTTTAAAATTAAAAAATGGGAAGGTTCAGCATCAATGGAGGGAGCAGTCAGGTGGAAAGCTTCCAGCCTTGCATCCTGCCCACTCACACTGCTTCAGCACTGCCCCAACTTCATCAATACAATTCCAGCTGCTGCCTCCACTACGTGTGCTGCTGCTCGAGCGAGCCATGGTCACTTGCTTCAGTTTCTCTACTCATCAATTCCATTCCCTCATTCACCCTTTCAATGTAATGCTTTTTTTTTTGGTATTGCTTTTAAATCAAATGGCAAGGGAATTCATTAAGAGGATTCAAGAAATTCTCAAGAAAAAGAAAAATAAACAGAGCAATGGAAACACTACCCATTGGCCAGTGTGAAGTAAAAACTCTCTTCCCTCATCCCTGAAGTATTTGCAAGCAAAAAAACCTAAACTGAAATTTCATCCCACCGCTACCAGGCATAATAATAAAAAGGTTTTAAACTGAACAGTGTCAGAAACAGACTTCAAATTCAAACAGCAAGACTCCTTAAAAAATGTCCATGTAGCAAGCCACTATATTTATATAAATAAGGCTGACATAAAAAGATAAATAAAAAAATCCAAGTGAATGCCCAACAAATAGGAAAAAAAATCAATGCACATACATATCAATTGCTTTCCTATGTTTAGCAAAGTCAAAAGTCTTCCTAAAAGCATTCTGACAAACATTCCCTAAAGCAAATAAAAAACAATTTTTTAGCAACCTCCTTGTGCAGAGATGCAGAATTATTATACATTTTATTGGCAAACAGAAAGGCTTCCTCATCTTATAGCCTATAACATCTCAAATGACACTTTTATGCAACTGCAATATTAAACTGCTATAATTTTTATCTTCTAGACTTGAAATGTATTTCTCTACATTTTGGAAAACACTTTTCAACCTCTGCAGACAACTCTGTGCTTCTGTGAAATCAGCCCCTCCTTCTGCCATCACCCCTAAAAGTCACCTCATGTTTATACTATTCTTAACACAAATTCATGCATACTTCTATGTTGGGGTCATAAAATTATTTACAAAGCAGAAAATTTTATCTTCTACCTGTATGGACAAAATAATTTCACAACTCTCTACTCCACCTCTGCATCGAGCAGGAATTTTATTTATGCCTTAAAATGATAAAACTGTTTATGACTTTCACAAACATATTACTTTCTCTGGAAGGAAGCATTAAGAGATTTTGATTTCCATGTCAAATATAAGTTGTTTGGCTTTGTGTTTTTGGTTTTTGTTTGTTGTTGTTGTTTTTTTAAGTTGCCCTTGAACACTTTTAAGCCCTAATTATCTTATAATATAAAAGGAGCATATGATTTTTCCAGCTGTTCAATGTCATGTTATCAATATACTGAACTGTGCACAAATACCAGCAATTTCTCTTTACCTAATGCAATAGGAAAACACAATATTTGAGAAATGGTTTTGCCTGACAAATTTCATTTGTCAGGAAAATATAAACTGAAGAAAAAAATTCACTGTCTGTACCATGCTTATCCTTTGAGCACCTAGGAAAAAGCTGCTTTTGGCAAGGTAAGGTTGTGGTACAGATAGTGTAATATATCTTTAAGCATATAAGCAGAGTAAAAGATTTTATGTTCCTATGTTTCCAATAAACAGAATTTATACAAAGGAAATAAAGCTGGAAAAAGATCTCTCAACCTAACTCCTAGGAAAAAAACTATCACATCTAGAAAGGGTTAAAAATGCAGCTGCTCTGCAGTATATTTATGGGCACACAGCCCACTTCATTCCATCTTTCTTCTTTAGTCCTACTAAGATGCAGTTGAGATGGCTTTCTAACCTTTAGCATCTCTTCGTGTATCCCATAATGCCCATAGGAGCTGAAGTAAACACCATCCTCCTCCTCCTGCAGGTCTGCAATGGCGCTGGATGACGAGTTGCTCCTGACATCTGCGTTCATCACAAAATCCTGTGCAAATTGTCTGTAATCAATTTGAAATATACCCTTGAGACGTGTTTATGGGCCCATGAAAAGGAGGCGGGGGTAGTGGGGGAGAAGGGGCACGGAAGAGATAAGGAATCCAGCCTGCATAGGGGCTCTGATAACAATGGGACCGGTTTTAAGTGTGCACAACCTCCCTCTGCAGGCTCCTCCAAGCTGCTGCACCACCGTGATCTGTCCACTGCCCTCCTCCAATGGCTGGTTTCTGCTTCCAGCCAGCAAATATCAGAAGGATATTAGAACGTTAAGACTTCATTTTTATGTTTAAGGAGGAATTCTCACTTTTGCTAGTACAAAATCTACTACCGCTGTGATTAAAACGTGTGGTTTAGGCCAAGTAATGGAGATTTGGACTCAATACAACAAATAGCACAAGAACACTATGACTAATGCAAAGGAGAAGAGAGTACTTTAAAACAAAAGCATTTGAGTGGAAAAAAAATCAGGGCTTAACATTAAATTTATTACTTTATTTTCATGCTGCTTATTTTCCTCCTCCATGGCCTTGCATTCTTAATAAGTCTGTTGTCTTCTCATTCCCCAGAGCAGTTTTGATAACAAAATACACAAAGCAAGGGTTTTATCATAAAAACACAGTTAAAAGTTGACAAGCAAAGAGCTCATACTATACCCACAAAGTGAAAATGTAAATATGCTTCAGCCAGACAATATTCCCCCAAGGTTCAATGACAAGGAAACTCGCATCCTACACCAGTACAATGCAATCATGTTACCACTGAAAGTAGATGTAGTTACTTTTTATCCCAAGAAGCTGATAACTGCAAAATCTCCTGGATCTAGGAGTTTTTATAGCGGAAAGTAAGTCAACCAATCTGCTAAATACCTGTATAAACCTATTCCCATGAAAGAAAACAGTAGAAAACCAGGTTACTGTAGCTTAAGGTCCCACATACTATTCTTGCTCCACATCAGACTTCTGAACTATCTTTACTTGGCAGAGTTATACCTGAAAGGAAACATCCATACATGGACCCCTGGAGTAGTATTCTCCCGGAGGAATCACTATGAATTACAGCATGTAGGCTCCTGCAATGCAACCAGTTAATCTGTCCATAATTTAACTGTGCTGCTTCATCAGATCTACATCTGACTAGTTTTGCTGCCAGCTCATGCCTCCAGAATTGAAGAGCCTGCTTTAACAAAGAACAATTAAAAGCTCCCTTTTACAACAGTAGATTATTTGATAGACTAGCCTTAAAAAGCAGTATATATAAGCCTGATTTAAGTTTAGAGAGCTGAAAAGAAATTACAGCTGATAACCTGACCATTTTTCTTTCTTTTAAATGAACAAAAGACAAGAAAATATAAGGAAAAAAAATCCCAAGTTTTCTAAGTACAGTGACAAATTTATCTCGTTCTTATTCTTTATGATGAATTAATGCATAATATACACAAAGATGTCAGAAAAGTACTGTACACTATAAAGTACAATTTGCAAAAGTTCAACCCAGCTGAAGCCACAACTGCTCATTTTTTACAGGTACAATTGTTCACAGCTGGTAGGATTTGAACAGACAAATAGGTTGGTACACTTAGATACTAATGATATCAGGTGTGTACCCTCAAAACATACAGTGAACCCTCAAACATATTTCACAAAACAAGTTTTTTTGCCATTTTACTTTTCCACATAAGATGATTATTTTTCCAAGTCTCTTACATACAATTTCAATTTTTCAGTGCCCAGTGAGTGGGACCTTGAAATGATGTATTTGTTTGGGATTTAAACCTATGCAACTCAAAGTTTTTATTTATTTTTTATCCCTGAGCTTCAGCAATCCATATTCTGAAGACCTAAAGATTTAGAAGTTGCATGCAGAGCTGATTCGTGACTGAAATGCAATTAATATTCTTACTCACAGAAGCCGTATCTGAGAGTGAACATAAAAATATCTGAAAAGTAGTCAGTTTATTGATTTCACTGCAGTTTCTCTGAACTGTAACTGGATTCTATTAACATTCAATGTTTGGGAACATCTCTCAAAATGTTTGTAGTCTTGTACTTGATTTGTCAGTACCTTCCTCTTCTCCATTGTGTACATCTTCTATGTTTAAAATCATATTTAAAGGAAAACTGTCTGGAAAACAAAGAGTGGTCTGAAGCAAAATATGTTTCTGGGCCATGTACTTATTTAGCTTTCCTAAGCATACTCTGCTCTTCCAATTTGTGCAGGTTTTGTGCAGTTTTTATCAATCATCTACAAGATGTTTTCTTATCATCTACAAGTTAAAAGTGAAATCTACAGTCCCAACACAAGTCATAACCCTTACTCCATAGCTGTATTTTATTCTATCACTTCTTTGCATTTCTATTTGCATTTCTATTGGTCTTTAAACATTAATAACTAAAACACAAATAAAATAACCCCAGAACTTCAGTTCTAACACTTACTTCATTTTTTGAAGATCATCTTGTGCTCTAGCCAAGGCTGCTTCTGCAAGTCTTGCTCTGTGTTCTGCCCGTTTTAATTGTTCAAGAAGTATCATAGTATCATTTAAACCATTAGAGGGCAAAACGTCTGCAGGTTCACAAAGGTCTTCAATGTCTGATGAAAGGGGGAGCACAAAACACAACACCTACGAGTCACACGTTGTGTCACAGCAGCTCATAAACATAGGATGTTTCAGCATTGCTACTTCTGCCTTTGGACAATTTGTCAAAGTAGTTTGTTTGACAAAGAGAATCATTGGATTTGATAGAACTGATGACAGAACACAATACTCCATAAAAACAAGTGTGCTAGAAGCAACCTCTAAGTCAACAAAGCAAATCAATCCAGAATTTAGCCTTCTTTAAATAACAGTTATTGATTATTGACAAAATAAGCATTAGGTTTGGACTGTAATTAAGTTCTTTACAGCCCTATCCTCTGTTTTTCCAGTTATGTTATTCTGATGCCAAAAGGTATATAAATTTAAAATTTCTTAAGAATTAGACAGTAACTCTTAATGTAGAAAAAAAATTTCCTTGGACTTTTATAAAGCTTATGAGCACAGGCAACTCAAAATAGCATAAGCAGAATGAAACTTGATGAAATGCTGCTTTTTAACTACCAATACTCAGACTCAGCACTAGGCCCCATTTTCACCTCTTGCTAAGATCAGCTGGTGATTCCAACAGAGGTCAGTAAATAAAAGAAATGGCACTGTTGTGTTTCTGGATCTAGAAAAAAACTACAGCTAGCTTACTGGGCAAAGCGTCATCAAAAAACTCACATATCATGGAAGACCATCTGGACCATGGGACTGAAACAAAACACATCTCAAGATTTCAGAGGCTCAGATCACCCCTGTAATCCTTTAGCAACTGCAGCAGCACTTTGAAGCATCTCGAGAGTCTATAGCTCGGGCAAGGGGCACACATCAGGCAGAAGATGACAGAGGGAAATGTGAAATCCCTGATGTAACAGTCCTCTACCACACATCATCTCTGCTGCCATGCAGCTGGCCCTGCTTAGAAAAGGGCAAAACTGCATTCCAGACTGCACAGAGAAGAAAAAAATCGACAAGCTTTAAGTACCTTACGGCTTAAATGAAAGAAAGATGTAGAATTACATGCAAACCAGGAAGACAGTTGGAGAATTATGCGCAACAGAAGTAAGTTCAAAAGTCAAACAATTTTCTGAAGACATGTGATGAACTTCCATGGGAGAAACTAAGGCTGCCTGCGCTGCTCGCTCCAACTGCTAAAGAAGTACAACTATTCTATGCACCTGTAGCATCTTACACTGAGTTAGTTCAAAACACAACCAGTATAAAAGACAAAGGTATTTTCAACAAGGCAAATTACTTGCTCCTCACTTAGAGCAGACATGTTTGAATGAATGCATCTGATTTTGACTATCTACACTTAGAAGCTTTAAAAGCTTCATCAATCTCTCAGTGAAGTTTGGGAGGGGTGCCCCCTTGACCTGCCTCATTACTAGGTACAGCATTTCCACTATGAGCATCATGTTTACAGTAAGTGAATGCAGATAATAAAAGAGGGTTATGGAAATCACAGCCACTACAAATCAATGTACAACATGTGGTACAAATTCCAGAGAATGACTTAATGTCATGACTGTGTGTAGACTTTCTCATATATGCAAGTCATCTGAATAATAGCAACGATGCTTTGTTTGACAGGAGCACTGCCAATACCACATTTACCCCACAATGCACTATAGTCATGCTGAAACTTAGTTTATTTACCAAACTGAAGCAGAAGGTCATCTTTTTGCTCTGGTTTCAAATATTCCTCTCCTTCCCAAGGCAGTGGGCAGCTGAGTGAACTGAAATATGCTGCTGTTGGTTTCTAGACAGAAAGAGAAGAGCACGTAAGCCAAGTTTCTTCGGAAAAAAACAGCCCTTCAATTTGATTCAAGAAAATGAGGCAAAATTCTGTTATTAAAGCAGCTTTATAGCAAGGCTGAAAAAGATGCTACTTTAAAGCCTGACTAGCAAGAACAGTGGCTCTGACAACAAGTACTCACCTTGGCATGGTGACCAAAGAACAGCATAAAACTACACCCTATGAGCTAGACTGGGTCCCAAAGCCCAGGAAGCCACAGGATCAAGGAATTCAGTAGAAGCAATAAAGCACAGCAGACTGATAGATACTGAAGGAGACCTTTAGAGTTTACTCAGACACTAGACCTCAATTTTTCTGTTTCAGTGCTCACTCCGCAGAGCTAGTTATCCCTTAAGTAACTATTTGGGTATTTAAGATTTGAAGATCTAAATAAAAAATACTTAATTACACAACTTAGTATTAAGTCTAAAATCTGAAGTTTTTGGGAACAACTAAGCAACCTACTTCAAAGTTACAGAACACAAAAAATACAAACCAAGGCCTGATTTAAACTGTAGGTTTCCATCAGCTTTCCTGTTTCTGGGATCATTTGAGCAGAGATTAATCTCTGGTTCTGTGACCTAAGGGATCAGGTGCTGTCCTTACTAACAGTGCAGTTGGGGTCTAGACAGCTCCCATCCCCAGGAAAGACCCTTTTGCACCAACACTCATGTGAGAACTGAGAAACTTCAGTTATGAAGAAGTTCATTACTAGAGTGAGATAGCAGAGTCAAAAACAAAGATGAATGAACTAAAAAACCCCATGATACTACATAGCATGGGCTTTTTGTAAGACTGAACATCCTCTTCTGGAAACAACAAAACACACATAAATTAAATATATTTTAAGTGAAAACAACTTCAAATCTAAATAGACAATCAACAGTTATTTTAAGCCCTGTAATTTCTTATTTCCAGAAATAAGATAAAATCCTTAATACACTTGTTATAAAAAAAAAGGTGAACTGAAAGCACAGAATCTTGGCTGCCCATTCTCCATACACAGATTACACAAGAAGCATGTGGCACACCTACCTTTAGCCTAACAAAGTTTATTAGCTTAATGTATCCATAAAACTCAAGTCCTGAAAAAAAATAATGAAAAAGAGAGCTTGCATTACAGAAAACCCACACACATTTTACAATTACATGAACACTAATTACTAGTTCAACTGGCCCACTTCCCCTTGGGGTGTACATCATTATCTTGTGTATTCTTCCTATCTTAAGTCTGCCAGCTATGTTTCTCTTCTCCTCAGGACTAAAACAGGAAATTCTCATCCTCAAGACAAATATATTTGCTACAAATTAAGAATAGGACACATGGAAACAGGGATTAAGAACAAGAATTTAATGAATTTGGCAAGTAACTACATCAGGACGGACATTTATCTCCTACTAGCTACCTTGCTGATACTTCAGGCTGTTGTGCTCCTTTGTTAATATTTTTAGCTTTCTGCTTAATAAAATGCAGATTTATCCTGCCCACTGAGAATACAAACCAATGCTGATGTGAAACTGCCACCTTGCTCACAAACAGTAATTTAACAAGTATGTACTTTCCTGAAGATCAGTGAGGACACTGCATAAACTCAAAACACTTTCCATTGGATTTCAGACAGAAAACAGACCAGGTATTACCATTTTATATGCAGATTTCTAAATGATTCATGTAGCTTCTATGCTCTTGCCTCTACCTCCTTTTTAATGCACACTCTTAAAATTGTGTTTCTTCAACACCATTCCCCTTCCCTGCTTCCCATTTCCCCTCAACATGCAGCATGGCATGGGTTTCATGCTCAGTTCTGTCCTTACCTAACACTTCCAAAGCCACCCCCACTTCACATACATCCTCCTAGATGTACTTTCCTTCAGTCACCATCTTCACCTAAATAGATGGCACCTTCAAGTGAAGGCAAACCTTATACTTCACTTGGCAAGAATACAACACACTGGAGGCTACACCTTCCCACCATTACTGGGGGGAACATAAGCCAAGACTGCAAAGAGTCCCACAAAGGACATCAGCAGTACAGCCCAGTTACTCAGCCTCCAGGTGGATACATCCACTTGGGTCTCTGCTAAGCTCCTGAGCCCAACCACAGTGTCACTAATTCCCAGCAGGCCAGGTAAACAGCTCTTACTCCAGCAGGCAGTGGGGCTGGCTCAGGTCAATCAGCAAGGCAGCGGGGACTCAGCAAAAGCCAGCAGAGATCAATCTCACTTGGGTTCCTAGCTGAGAACTTCACCAGTAGATAAAGTGTATGGGGAAACGGCCAGCATAAAGATCACACATAAGCACTTTTCTAGCTTACCTTGTTCAAGCTTGGAATCTGCAGCTACCACCAGGAAACGCATTAGAAACTAATTAACCTTTGCTATTTATTTTAAAGATGACACCAATACACAAAAATGACAAGAAAATAAACTTACCATACTTCTTGATCACATCACAGATGTTGAACTGATGCTCTGCCTTGCAGTGGGAGAAAACATCTTCAGCAGACCTAAACAAACTGAAAATAACAGAGTATTAAATATATATATAGTGCTAACATGTTCAAAATCTGTAACACCCCTGGGAGTTTTACGTGCTGTTCTGACCTGAACACATAATTTTTGCCTCTGTGCTTACTTACATACCTCACAAATAAGCTTTTATTTTGCTTGCAAAGCACCTCGCAACAAAAAGTAATAAACACAAAGCCTGTATTTGATGATACCACAAACTATGTTAACTTTTAAAACCTCCTTTAGAGCAAAGACAGCAGTAAACCCACACCCTGCATATATACCAGGCAAACTGGCCGGCTAGATCTGCTGCATCAGAATAAACATCCTCATCTATTTACTGACGATAGGAGAAAGTGACAGAATTCCAGAGATGAACTTCCACGCTGCTTCAGGGTGAGGAGAGGGGAAGTACTTGCTCTCCACGTTACTTCCTCCTCCTCTGGGACGGATTTAACAGACGCTGGGCTCTGGAAAGCCCAACCTACAGCGCACACCGCCCGTTTTCCCTTCCCGGCTGCCCCCGCAGGCCGAGTTTGCGGGCTCAGACCCCAGTCCCCCTCCCCACAGGGCTCCAGAGCAGCCTGTCCCGGCAG